CTTCACTTTTAAATTATCCTGTGGGGCCTGATTGAACGGCCCGCGGACCGTATGTTTGACACCACTGGTTTACATAATCATCTCGCGGGCCGGATTAAAGTCCTATGCGGGCCGGATCCGGCCCGCGGGCCGTACGTTTGACACCCCTGGTCTAGAAAATTCAGACACTTGGAGACCAGAGTCGTGAGCAAGGCTGTAATAATCCGACAGCCATTTGTTGGCACGGCAGAGTCTTTCAATGCAGCTGGTAACGAGGCATGATCAGAGACAGGTGCGGCTCATGAGGGAACGCCCACTCTCCAGCTGGAGACTGGGAAAACAAAGCAAACAGGACACGATCATGACATCTTTAAAACTTAGCATACAAACATCAAAAACGGACCCCCCGTGAAACAACGGTAATCACCCAGATGAGTCAAAAGATCTTACATGGCCGCCCACTTCTCCTGTGGCGACATTTTCCTGCGTCCTCTGCATCGAGTAATCATGTCGAATTAATTTCCCAAGCTCCCAGACCTAAGAAATAGATGGCACATCACAAAGACAAATGTCATATACCAGCAATCCTCCCTCAAGGAGAATCCATTGTAAAGCAATTTGCATGTCTGCCTGACAGGAGAAATCTAAGGGAAAGTGACTTGTCCTTTACTAAGTAATGCTCCGGCAACTGTAATCAAGTCGCGTCGCAGTTATTACTGTCGTAATGCACAAAATACGTCTTGTGGATTTTAAAAGTTCGGCAAAATCTTCAGGTTGCACTTATTGTCACTCAGTCCGACCTACCTTTAGGTACAGCCATAGGCTGTGAATACCCGGGTTGCATTCGCGATCTTCTTTTTCATTTTTAAATTGTGGTGTAGACCTAGACTGCATCATTTCTAATATGGTAGTTAATTAAACTGTCATCTAAACCAACGGTCCTGAACCACAAAGCCATTTAGTACCGGACTACACAGGGAGACTGAAAAAAAAAAAAAATTAATTGATCATCAGAGTTGGCAAGAAGTTTTATTTTGAAAATCAGGTGCATTCCCCGATGCCTCCGTACACCTGGCAATCTTGTCTCAATTATGTGATGCGGTGGTAAAAAGAAGTAAGCCCAAAATGAGTAAATCACACCCATCCCTGCATGGAGATCTTCTTCGCAAAGGAGAAAAGGCCAAATGATGAGACATCAGACTACAACCTCCCAAGAAAAAGAAAGCTGCAAGAGATGATATCAACAGTCCTTCTTAAAATACGCTTTTATCGCGACAGGTGACAGGCGCCGAGCCCGCTCTGCGTAATATGTTGAGGAAGGCTCGCAAATGAGGCAATGAAGCCTTCAAAACTGCTTCGGCTCATGGCACCCCGCGTCAAAAGACCAGCCCAGATTAAAAAAAAAAAAAAAAAAGTGGAATAATAGAAATTGCACTCCCATCGAGAAAAAAAAAAAGCACATTATTTGCTTCCATTTCCATCATTCTGCCCTTGTAAAATTTCTGTAATCACGGCGACCAAAAACCAAGTCAAGGTACCACTCTTCCTCACTGATAGCGTCAATCAAAACTGATATGGTGACCGGTGAGCGTGTCTGTTCAATCTATCGCCAATGTTCTCGCTACTAAGGCCAGATTGCATGCCGTCCTTCACATACCACACAGCGCCTCATTGCCTGCGCATCACTACAGATGCTAACACACATGTCCGACCGTCCTCTGCGGGCATCCCAACCACGATTCACCTACGTGCGTGCTAATTATTTTAAGGAGTGGAAATGAAAATATATTGAGTGACAAAACCAACAGATGTGTAACCCCCTGTAATGTGAGCGGGAACAATGATGCAGTCGACAGATTTAATAAAGCAGGCAGTATGTTGGCAATAAGCTGCGCTAAGCAAGCTTGATTCCATCTATTAACACTGTTTACCATCGTCTTTATTGCCTCGAGATGAATCGCAGCCATTAGCGTAAACTGGGCTAAATAAGACACATTTTGCCCCCCCGTCTTTATTCCGAGCTGTTGTAAGACTAACAAGAAAGTCATCACGAGTTTATGAATGACTCGTTGGAAATGTGACGCCGCATACATTGGCCTCGTTTTATTCAAACAGTTGCGCGCGTGAATACGTTATACAGCCAAATACCCCGGCGATCGCAGTCTGCACGCTGGTGGGATCCCGGTTCCGTAGCTGCTGGTGTGTCAGGCAACGAGAAACACAGATGCTACTCAAGAACGCTCTCCATCCTGCCACCAAGCAGCCACACATGCACTCTTCACAAACTGCCCCTGGTCGAGACACATTTTACAAAATAAAGCATTATTTATATTTACTTACTTATTTACTTCCCGGGCATGTGACTATAAGGTAAGGAGACCAATTTTATTGAAGAGGTAGGTGACTGAGGGTAGCTGAAGACTATGCTAATACTAGTGTTTTTTTTTTCACTCTCTCTCTGACATCACAAATCAGCTTACCCAGTAATGAGTCGTTACCCACATGGTATGGCTTAGTAGTACCTGCTATCATCAAAATATAGGAATGAAAACTTTAATAGCGAGATGCATTGGCCAAGTAGGTGAATTAGGGCATCCCTATCATGCTCTTGTGGGTGGTCGCATATTCGCTGTACTTCATTTGAATTGGGAAAAAAAAAAATGCAAAAATGTGATTGTCTTGTAGAGGCATTTCCACCTATAGAATCCAGTTCGTCGCTGGACCCAATTCAAGTGGACTGTAACAAGTGAAAGTGAAAACAAATTGACGTTTGTGCCACTCTGGGGATTGCTGTGATATGTTGTGATGTAATAACCAGCGTTATTGTCCTTTCATTGTCACACCAAGATTCGACTGCAGGGTATATCTGCCTCCTTGGAAAGAAATCCAGAGGAGGTGAGCAAGATTGAGCCACCCCCCCCTACCCCCCCAAAAAAAAACCTCAATATTGCTCAGCTAGAAAAAGGCAGCTGTGACAAGACTGTCAAATGAACACTGGTCCTCCCAGGAGACCTTTACCCTCAGGGATCGCTGTGATCACCACAGTGCCGAGTGTATGTGGATGTGAGTCACAGCAGGTGGCGCCTGTATGAAGTATCACACAGTTTATTTATGACAGCTCCCCTGCTGACGCTCGGAGACTGAAAACAAGCTGCTCACAAATCTGAGCATCACGGTTGTGACACCAGACGCTCACTCTCTCCACCTGCACTCTTTGTTTGCTCGTCGTGTTAGCCTTGAGCCACAGTGACCAAAGTATTTGATTGCAAGGCTACATTCATGTTCAGACCAATGCAGTGATGTTAGGAGTAAAATTTGTTCTATGAGCACTCTTGTAACCCAAAACGCTTGTCTGAAATCATTGTTCCCCATTGACCTGAATGGAAGTGTCATTAATTCATTCCAGGCTTCGCAAATATGTCATATGTGTATTTCGTGTATAAGGAAAATTTCATTCTATAATACTGTACTTAAGAAAAAAAATTACAACGAACATAATTAAAGGAATTTAAGTTATTGCACCATAAATAATTAAATGCAGGTCCTTCTGAATTCTAATCTTCCTGATGCCATTAAAAATGGTTTGTACAATTCTTCATACACAAGACCTTTAATACATTTTGTACTTCCTCATGGGATTCTCCTTATTATAAACCAGTCTATCAATCAAATAATCAGGTTGATATTGTTCGATAAGGGACTCCCTATCTGCTTTAAACCCCCAGATCAGATCCCTGCAGGTGTCGTTTAAAATGCTTTCCTGCATTCCTTGGTTTACGACAGTCAAATGTCCTAACTGGAGTGCATTGGGTCCAATCAGGAGTGCGGCAAACTTGTAATAGGTGGCCATTACAATCAATCTGCACATGGCATGTGAAAATGGAGGACTGAGAGAGAGCCAAATGAAAAGTGTCTACAATATCAGCTTCCTGGGACTTGTGGAACTGTTGTGCTGGTTGCTTAGTAACTGTAATACTCCCAGATACAACTGCGGAGTGCACGGCAAGTAAGCCTTCCTCCATTTTACGTCACCCACCCACCCCCACACCCCCACCCCGATCCCCCATCTGCCTTCTCACTGTGATTTTACTCAAAAGCAGCTTTTTGTGTTGCTGAACTATGATTCATGTCCTTAATGTTACTTTTCCTTTCTGCGAAGCTCAATGAGTGAATGAAGGAAGCAAAATTAGTTTGCTAATTCGAATCCAGCAGCTTTTATAAATGTTTTTACCGGTGCAAGATACAAAGAAAAGTGCATTTTTTTTCTTCTTTAATGCATGTAACCTGCAGATTGCGCCTGCAGTGACGTTCTCTTGGGTCTTCCCATCCTGTCCTCTTTTTTTCTCCCCCCCCCCCCCACCTTC